CTCATGATCCCTGCTATACCCAAGCCCATTGTTGTAGCCACTGTGTCAATCCATCTTGTTAAGAGCCTTCACCTTTTTCGCTGACCCTTCACTTTAGCACACATAATATCATTCTGCAGGCCCTTCTGAAAACATGACCAAATAAGTGAGATGAAGTCTGGCCATTCTTGCTTCCGAGGAGCATTCTGGCTGCACTTCTTCCAAGGATAGATTTCTTAGTTCTTTCAGCAGTCTATGGTACTATCAGTAATCTTCACCAACCCCACAACTCAAAAGCATCAACTCTTCTTCAGTCTTCCTTAGTCATTGTCCAGCTCTCATGCATATGCAGTGATTGAGAACACCGAGGCTTGGGTTAGGTGTACCTTAGTCTTTGGGAGATATCTTTGCTCTTTGACACTTGAAAGAGGTCTTTGGTAGCAGATTTGCCCAATGCAAACGTGGATGATACATAGGGTCTTGAAATTTAGAGACATGTCCCCTTTCAAAAAGAGCTTTGTTAAAAACTCTTTAACTTTCATGAAGATGCATTCCTTTTCTAAGACCTTCTCTTTTCTCTCCCTTTGTAGCACTTAGAATACTCATTCTGTCCCTATATTTCCTGTCAAGGAGACGGATAAGAATCTTAAGGTGAAAACATTTTGAGAAAGAGGTTCTTAATACAAAGTGAATGGTGAGATTTCACAAATTGGTGCCAGTTACATCTGCCATAATAACTAGGGGAAACCCAGTTAAATTTGAATTTTAGATAAATAATTACTTTTTCAGTAAAAGTTTGTCCCAAATATTGCATGGGACATATTCATACTAATATAAAATTATTTATTTATCTAAACTTCACATTTAATTTGATGTCCTGTATTTTTCCAAAACTTAGAAATCCTATGTCCAGAAAAAGTTAGTTAGCATCTAAGGGTTGCAAACTCATCACAGTTTTCCAGGGATCTTTCATGTGCTAGAACTGTTTTAAAATCTGTGTGCTATGAATGCCTTCAGTGAGTCTCTGGTAA